TATCTTATCTTATCTTATCTTATCTTATCTTATCTTATCTTATCTTATTATTATTATTATTATTATAGATTCCACGATAATGCAGAAGCTGCACTAGTTTGTTAGTGTCACTCTTTGAAGCCATTTTATGATGGTCATGTTATGATGGTAAACACTGGTAAACATTGTGCTCCTATACAATCTGTTAGCACTGAGTACAGTACATGTTGTTAATGACTCTAAGCTACTACCACCTGTCAAGGAACCTGGCTGGACCAACCATCCCAAGAGTTGGAATCAGGCCAGCAGAGCCTCCCTTTGACCCCCAACAGAGAGGAGAACGTGACAGGAAAAGGAGCCACAAGAAAGATTGAGATGCACGCCAGAGGGAAAGGAGGATCAAGATGAAGAAAGAGAGTAATAAGGAGTAATAAGTATTAATGTTGATCAATTTTAATGCTGGCAAATAAATAACATGAGTAATAATTATATGCTTAATTGCAAAGTATGATTTAACTAATGTACTGTAATAATCAATGTGTTTTAATGTAAGATGGTGATTTAGAAAGAAGTGTTATTGTATGTTCTAGAATGAAGGAAGGGTGTGTGTGTGCTATTTTGGACGGTAGAAAGTACAAACTGTACTTCTGCAAACAGAGGAGCAGCCGAAAAAAGCAGAAGTAGGGTTTTTCTGGAATGTCCCAGAGGCCCTGTGGTGAAAAACAAAGTGGTTTTGACTCACCACAAAAAGTCCCTCACAGTTCTATTACCAGAATCAGCAAGATTACTTCATTCTGGGAAATACAAAAAAGCCCGTGGTGGAAATTCCCAACCTTACCACAGGATGGTAAGAAGGGGGGTAAGCGGGCCCAAAAACAGTATAAAAGAGGATCAGTTTCAGCAGTAAACTCGTCTTCTGGCCCCGTCTGGAGAAGAGGCAGTAAGAAAGCGAGGACAGCCCAAGAAGGGGAGCAAGCAGATCCAAGAGACATCTCATTTGGGACACGCTGACACACTTCTCTCCAGCGATCTACGGACTGAAGACCAGATTAAAACAGCCCAGCTCTRAGAAGTCTTTTTTAGGCAACAATCTGATGCTTTCCATGGAGGTAATGCCGACTCTGCTCCAACCTGTCCTGCCGTCCCAAATTAAGAGAAAATGCCACACAACCTAGTCATAAAGTTAGGTCAGTGCCTTAGAGATTTTTTACTTTTATCACATCAATTATTATTCAATATTTTTAATCTGTGTAATCAAATGTGGCTTTTCTTGCAAATTCCTATTAAACTGCTTACAGCATTATAAAGACAATTCTATGCCTGGACATTGGTTTTTAAAGTTTTTCTCTGATTGCCTGAGAGTGTTGTTACTTCAAAGCAACAAGGTGTTAACATATTAATGAGTGTGTTTGCTTTGGAGCCAAGAAGTAACGATATGAGGTCATAAATCTACTCTGGCTAATGTGCTCTATGCAGATGTTTTTGTTTTTATAAACACCATAGTGTGTCACATTGTTGATATAATGTTTTGTTTTGTTTGTTTGTTTTTTCATCATCTTCCCTTGTGTGGTTTTTAGCTTTTCTTTTAACGGTTGTGCCTCCTCGTGATGTCTTCATGAAGATGACCTAGGGCACCTGTTCTCCTATGTTTGTTTTGTTCTTTCTACTTCTGAATGGATGTTCTGAACTGTAATTTTATTGTGCTCTGTACAATGACA